GCTCTGAAATTCTTCTTCTTCTCTTTTTTCTTTTTTTTGGCGACACAGTCTTGCTCTGTTGCCCAAGCTGGAGTGCAGTAGCATGATCTTGGCTCACTACAACCTCCATCTCCCAGGTTCAAGCCATTCTCCTGCCTCAGCCTCCCCAGTAGCTGGGATTGATTACAGGCACCTGCCACCATGCCCGGCTAATTTTTGTATTTTTAGTGGAGATGGGGTTTCTTCATGTTGGCCAGGCTGGTCTCGAACTCCTGACCTCAAATGATCTGCCCATCTTGGCCTCTGAAATTCTTCTTCTAGGATTTTATTCTCTAGATATATCTCAGTACAGTTGAAATGGTGTATTTATTGTAGCTGATTCACTGTAGCATTGTTTGAAATGGCAGAAGATTCAAAACAACCTAAATGTCCATCGTTGAGGAATCTATTTAATAATATGTGGTACATCTACATGATGGGGTACTATAAAACTGTGGGAAAAACCAAAGTTCTTTATGTATTCACATAAAAAGATATCTAAGGTTTACTGGTATGTGAAAAAGCAAACTACAGAACTCCATGTGTAGTATAGTATCATTGATGTCAAAACGAAAAGGAGAAGTATATATGGAAAGGTATGCACATGTATTTATATATAGACATTACATAGAGATACTATTTCCTTGGAAGGAACCATAGGCAACTTGATAGCATTCATTTGCCTGTGGGAGGTCAATTGCATGAACTGCAAGATAGGAGAAGGAGGACGACCTTTTAAATTTAACAATTAAAACAAAAATTTAATTTGCATTATGATTCAAAAGGAAATTTATAACATGTAAGTTTTATGAACGTCAATAAGATGAGCACCTAGGAGACCGGATTTTGAAACAGAACCTTTCCATTGTCTCATAGCCTCCTAGTGCCTCTCCCCATCCCATCCCCCTTCTCCCCACGCTTTCTCCTGTTTCTATCCCTGTGTAAATGTCTCCCTGGGAAAGCTTTCTGTCACTTTCCGTAAACTTTTCTGGTTTTTCTTCTCCCTGCCTCTCTCTCCATGCTCATGCTCGTGCGTCCCCAGCCCACAGTTGTCCTTGCATCTTTCTCCAGATCAAGTCCTGCAGTCAGGCGAGCATGGAGAAGGCGAGCATGGAGGAGACAAGCATGGGGTCAGAACTGGAGCTGGCAGAGCAGACGGAGATGGAGGGAGCAAAAGAAGAAAGCCTGGTGGAAGGGGAGGAGGAGGAAGAGGAGGAGACCCCACCCTCCCCCTGGGACATCCACCCCAATGATGTCCTCAAGATTCTGGAGGCCTTTGTCATGGGTCTGAAGAAGCCTAGGTGGGCTGCGGGGCTGGAAGGCTTGCCTGAGACCAGAGCCAGGGGAGCTGGGTGGGCTGGGGAGCCAGGCAGAGTCAGTGAGTGGAGAAGAGTGCGCTGGGCACGATACGAGGACTAAGGACAGGGCTATCTGAAGGCAGGCTAGGGCAACCAATCACTGGACAGAGTCAGGAAAGCAATAGGGCGTAGTGGTGATTTGTGCTTTTTTCACTCATCATTCATTCAGCAGACATGCATTGAAGGCTGCCATGTGTAAGCACTGTGGGGACACTGCCTTGTGATCAGAGCAATAGTCAAAGCACATTCAAGGTGTACCGTTGTTCAGAGGAGGAAGTGGCCATTTCCATTTGGCACGTCAGAGAGGGTTTTGGGAGGAAATGGCACCGGAACTGGGTGTTCCCAGGCAGATAAAATGGAGGTAAGGGCATTTCAGGAAATGGCAGCATGGGGAAGGTCTGGTCTGTTCAAGAATCATCACAGGAGGTCTGGCTGGAGGGTCAAGGGCCTGGGAGGTGGCACTGGTGGGTGGGGAGCCAGCCAGGTGTTGGAGAGCCTTGCCCAATGTGCCCAAGATCTTTGTCTTTACCCGTTGGTGGTGGGAGCCAGAAAAGGATTTGAAGCAGCTGAAGAGCCATGATTAGCCTTGTATTTTAGAGAGATCATTGTGGCGGCAGGGAAGGGGCGAAGCCAGATACAGGGAGAGCATCAGGAGGCTTGTCCAGGTGGGAGGTGGGGATCCTCCAGATAAAGGCTGTCATGGCGGGATGGAGAGGCCATGACTGAATTCCAGTATTGTTTTGGATGCGCTGGTACAAGAGACGGGCACAGCGATGAGCTGTAAAGCAGTGAGGTAAACTGACTGGGAGAGAGAGGGGTGGATGAAGCACTGATCATGCCCTCACGAAGGTACTGGTGGTACCGAGGCAGGAACGCTGACGATAAGCATGTGTCCTTTCTGAGAACCTGCCACCATCTAATAAACTTGGACTGCTGAGTGGGAAGGTGACAGGTGGGAAAGCAGTAGGCCTGTGACTGGCACTGCTTGGGGGCCTGGGTAGTACCCAATGGACATGACAGTCACAGTGTTGTTGGCCTTCAGGGACGCGCGGGCCCCGCCAAGAGTGCAGAAGAATATGCGCAACAACTCCAAGGACTCAGAGTACTGGCAGGCCCTGACCACGGTAATCCCTTCCTCCAAGCAGAACCTCTGGGATGCCCTCTACACAGCCTTGGAGAAGTACCAGTAAGTGTGCATGTCATGGAGCAGGAGGGTGCTGGTGGGCAGGTGAGGAACGGTTGCTGGGAGCAGCCGTGTTTGCTGCCCCCCTGTCCCACCGAACCTGGGAGGGAAGAGCTGCCCTTGGCAATTCCTGTGTCGGTGGATCAGGTGGGGCGGTTGGCTCTTGGGCCCTGGCCTGCCTGTTCTGTTCCTGCTAACCTGGCTCACCTGGCGGCTGGGTGAAGCGTGTAGCTTCTGGAGTCTCCCTCCACCTGCAGCCAAAGCAGAAACACCAAGACCCTGGCCCCTACTTGGCAGAGGATGGAGGATTCAGTGAGCCTCTAACTGATTTTTTGTCCAAAGCGTTGTCCTGACCCAGAGGGCCACGCTGCTGCTGGAAAACAGTTCTCTGGAGCAGCAGAACACAGAGCTGCAGGCGCTGCTGCAGCAGTATCTGAACTCCAAGGTGGGCAGCGGGCCTTCCAACGAGGGGTGGCAGGAGATGGGTGGGGCGGGGGGACTGGAGCTGGGATTAGGGAATGAGGAGTCCCCTCCCGCCCAGAGGCAAGGGAGCTTTGTGACGTGATGTAAAAAATCAACAGTGACACCTTTAGACAATTACTGGCTAAAGGAGTAGATCTTGCCTGAAGTCTCCTCCAGGACAGCTCAGGTGTGACACTGTCTGTTTGATACCGTGGTTTCTGGTGCCAGTGGCCTGCTGGGACCACTCTGTGTGAAGCAGTGCCACAGCCAGGAGCAGCTCCCCAGCTACAGAGCCTCCAGCTGTGCTTTCTTCCATCCTCACACCCGCTGTGTGAGGTGGACAGGGCGGAAACGATGCTCCTCATTTCACAGAAAGGACAATCACAACTTGGAGAGTTTGCAACTCATCCAGAGCCTGGGCTCTTTCCACCCGCCAGCCCGGGTTCCCTGCCTGGGATATGACTGGAGGGTCGTCCTCGAATGAGGGAGGAGGCTCTGCTGGGGCAGATATTCCCTGGCCCCCATCTGTGCCCACCCCCACAATAGTTGTGGGCAACTTCCCCATGGCCTGGCAAGAGGAGGAAGGAAAAATTCCATTGCTAACATTTCCTGCTCTGTGGTGTAGGTGCCTGCAGCTGGGGCTGTAGGCCAGGAAGGTCATGACACAGCTGTTAGTTGCACACGTGTGAGGTGACTGAGGCCAGCTCCAAGTCCAGCCACAGGGGCTGTGTGGCCCCAGCACAGTCCCAGGTCCCAGGCAACAGCTGAAAGGGGGATGTTGTAGTGAGCCTTGGCCTCATAATGACCCTTGGCCTGTGACAGGACCCAGACATTCTGGACAGTATGGTTCCTGCTTCCACAGATGCTACTGTGTACAAGAGGCTTGGGGAGGAAGAGGTGGCGCAGGCTAGACTGGGGATGGCATGGGTGCATGGAGAGAGGAAAGGGGAAGGTCACAGCTGGAGCAGAAGCTGAGCAAGAAGGCTCAGGCGTGTCTCCTGCAGGAAGGCAGCCTGTGGGTGCTCAGCGTCTCAGCTTTGGAGAGGAGATGCATGCAGGGCTTCGGAGGCCCATGGGAGAGCCAGCGTGGCTCGCAGGGGTGGCAAAGGAAGGAGGGCCCTGGGGAAAATTTAATGACCTTCACCCTTCCTTTTCCAGATCAACTCGGAACTGCAAGTTCCTCCCACTCAGGTGTTGCGGGTACCCACAAAATAGAGCTGGAACTCCAAAGGCTGATGTGTTAGGGCTGGCCTGATGCTGGTGTCTATGCGGGAGCCAGCTCATATCACCCACTGGGACGCACCTGGGCCGGCTCTCTGGATTTTCCAGGGCTGTCTTTATAGCCTGTCGAAATAAGGAGCCAGAGGAGTTACCTGTGTCCTGCATTATGATTAAAGCCTTTTAAAAGTTGTGGCTGAATCCTATTGAAATAAGGAGCCAGAGGAGTTACCTGTGTCCTGCACTATGATTAAGCCTTTTAAAAGTTGTGACTGAATCTCTTTAAAGAGGGCAGGTCTAGCAAGACCAGGCCCTTGCCCCTACCTCTGTGTCATGAGGGGACTTTGCCCCAGGCTGAGATTGTGGAGTGAGTCAGAGGCCGAGGCCGGTGGCATGGGGCTCCTTTCTTGCTTTCAGGGGAAGCTGGTTTCCATGGGTGGCGGCTGGAGCTTTTGGGCCCTTGTGGAGTCTTCAGTCTTCAGACTGGCCCCAGACCTGAAGGATTCTTTTGGTGCTTTGGGGGCCCCTGGGCCCAGGCTGGTGTAACCTTTGGGGTATAGTGTAAGACTCCTCCTGTGGGCAGCCTGGGTGGGCAGCCGTGTGCCCGAGATCTGCTTTGAACCCTGGGCCACCAGAGGCCACTCGAAGGGGAAAGGCCACGGGAGCCCTGCTGGTGCGGAATCCACCAGCCTAGAGAACTGCTGCCTCTATCCCGCACCTGCGGCTCCTCCTCTCGACTTGACCAGTGCAGACCTGTCAGCTCAGTGCTTGACTTCTTTTATTTAGAGAAAAATCACTCAAGAAAAACAGCCAACAGAAACCCAGACACAGGCAGGGACAGCACTTGATGGGCCAGCTCCCAGCTGCAGCTGAAAGGGCTGGAAGGGCAAGGGGGGCAGGGGTGGGAGGGCAGGGTGTGCCCAGGATGGGGAGTCCCCTCTGCTGCTCCTCACAGCTCCTCAGCTGGGCTTGGGGGCACTGGCTGGGGCAGAGGGAGCTCTGGAAGCTATGGAAATGCACAGGCAGGACAGGCGACGCCCTGGGAAGCGAGAGGAGCCAAGTGGAGCCCAGCAGTGACAGCACAGCCACCCTGGGACTTGTGGACAGGGTCTGGCCCCTGTTGTGGATCAAAGACCAGTGCTATCTGAAGGGGACACGGCGGGGATACCTTTTACTCGTTCATTCTTTTCAAAGCCCTGGGTACTGACCCCTGGTCCTTGGTTAATTTCACTAAAGCTTCAATCCTGTACTTGGAAGACCTGGGGAAGGTTTCAGGAGGCTTCCTCTGGAGCCTGGGCCTGAAGAAGGGTGGTGCCTCAGCCAGATGGGGCAAGATAGACCCATTCCAGGTTCCCACCCCATCCAAGGCTCCCCAGCCCACAGGCAGGGGTCAGAGGGGCAGGACTGGGCAAGCCGCAGCCTGGGGCAGTGAGGACAGGCGGCCCCACAAACAGGAGGCAGGCTCTGGGCCCAAGACATGAAGAGTGGACACTGGGCTCCTCAGGCTGCCCAGGGGAGATGGGAAAGAGTCCAAGCCACTGCAAGGAAATGTGGCAGGGCCAGGGAGTGGCTAGCAGGAGCTGGCGGCCTTCATGCCCCAAGGAGCTTTTTGACCATGTAGCCAGGGAGGCTGTAGAGGAAGAGGCCCAACATGAGCAGCCCCAGCAGCGCCAGCACAATCTTGATGATGAGCCACTTGTACCGGGTGCAGATGAGGTACTTGATGGACTTGAGAGGGTTGAGGAACCAGACGAAGGCCGTGTCGGGCCGGCTGGGAAGTGGAAGAGAGGAGCCGGTCAGCCAGTGGGCAGGAGCTGCCTCCCAGTGCACCCGATCCTCTGTCCTTCTGGACCCCCAAAAGCCCTGTCATGGCCCCAGCCCCAAAAGCAGTGAATGCTGGAGGCAGGGTTTGAACCCATTTCTAAGTACCCGACTTGCTGCTTACAAAACTCTATCCTCTCTGCAGGACCTTTGGAGCCGGAATCTGCTCCCAAGGCCTCGATGGGAACTACTTGCAGCATGGGGCAGCCTTGGCCCTGCAGGCAGTTCTCATGGTTAGCAAAGCTCCTGCGGTTAGCTCGTTCTATGTGCTGCCCCATGTCCTCGTGAGACTGGTGTTTCGCAACCTCTTCCTTTCTGATGGACGTAAACGGCTGCTCCCACCGGGCCCTGCTGAGGGTCTGAGCGGCCCCTGTGGGGCACAAGCCGCCCTCACCGACCTTCCCACTGTCAGGGTGCAGACCCACTCCACCTTCCGCAGGGCCTGCCAGCCGAGAAGCACCTAGCCAGCCTCACTATCTGTCGTTTGTGTTATAAAAACAATAGGTTTGGTAAAATGTCAAGATACAGAGTGAAAGTACTGAATATGCCTTTTCAAACTACTGCCTCCCAGAGGACATGGCGTGCAGCCCCAGAGCTGAGCTCAGTATTGGTGGGGACACAGAGCTGGGGCTTGGGTGCAGAGCACCTGGTTTTGAATGGTTTTCACAGGTCAGTTAGGCACCTCTATCAACCTCGGTTTCTTCATGTATAAAATGGGGTTACAAGCAGTACCTACCTCCTGGGGTTGGTGCAATGGCATAGTGAGCCAGTGCCTGGGGAACTCTAAGCACCTGCAGTGGGTGTTCAGGCCATGGTGGCTATGAAATGTTTGAGCTGAATGGAACTATGATTCCAAAGGGCAGAAAACAGCCCTGAACTGGGAGGTCACACACTGGTGAGAGCCATTTCCAGACCTGTTGGCTAACCCTGGCCATACCCTTCCCTTTTCTCTGTCCATAGCTCAGCTTCTTTCTGCCAGTGAAATTGGACTAGAGTCTGGGAGAAACGTGGCTGGGAGCAGAGGTGGTGTGCAAAGAACACAGGATTGGCAATTTGGAAACCTTGGCTTGAGTCCTGGCTCTACCCTAATTTGCTGGGTGACCTTGAGCAAGCTACTTCACCTCTCTGACTTAATATGGGAAAGTGTAAAATAGTCGTTTCTAGTTCTGAGAGTCTATTCTGTCATGAAAACTGAAAGTTGCTGTGCATGTTTGGGCTTAAGTGTGTGCCTGTGTGTGCTTGAGTGCATGTGTATGCACTTGTGTGTGGCACGTGTGTGCATATATGCTTGTGTGTGTGTGCATATGTATGCACATTTGTGTTTGTGGATGTGTGCATGTATGTGTGTGTGTGTGCGCGCGCCTGCCTAGCCCTTGGTCCAGAGGAAGAAGTGAGAAGTATCAGACCCAGGAGGCCGCTGGGCTCAGGCCCCGAGGATCTTCTTGACCAGGTAGCCAGGCACAGAGTAGAGGAACAGGGCGAGGAGGAGGAGCAGCAGCAGGAGCAGCAGCAGTTTGAGGAGCAGCCAGCGATACGTGTGCCATAAGAAGTAGCGAGCCGACTTGAGAGGGTTCAGGAACCAGATGAAGCTTGTGTCGGGCCGGCTGGAGCATGAAGGGTAGAGAGTGCAGAGGAGGGACAGGGAGGAGAAGGGGTTGGGTGTAGCGAGGGGCCCTGACCAAGAGGGAAGCTGCCCTGGGCTGTGTGTGCAGTTCTAGACATCCCTCTGGCCATCAAGGCTGGCCGAGGCCCCAGAGGCCACCACTGGAGCTGGCTCTTCTGCAAAAGCTAGGAAGGGAAGAGCGTAGTTTATCTCTGCTAAATGGGGCCTTTCCCAGGAAAGGTCCTGCTCTCCAGTACTCCTAGCCCATCCTCTGGTTCAAAGGGACGTTGCGGGATTCAGGGCCAGCAGAGAGCAGGGAGGAGGCTCCCCTGTAATGAGGCTGTGGCCCAGGAAGAGATGGGGTGTCTGAGGAGTGTCTCCTTCCTGTTCCAGTGCCTCCAACAACCAGAGTGGGGAGGGGCTGGGCAGGCAGGGCACTCACTTGGGTTTCTCTAGGGGGTCAGGTTCATTGCGGGCCAGGCCCACTGGGTTCTTCTCCGCCTCCTCTGCTGTCAGTAAATGCAACTCAGCTTCCACCTTACCCTGCAGAGGACAGACAGGTCCCAGCGTCCAAGTCACGTGCTGGGCCCTTGGCACCCCAGCTGGGCCCAGCCCTGCCTACTGCCCGAGCAGGAGGGGGTGCGCACCGTGAGCTCAAACTCATCGTTCTCATTGCGGGCCAGGAGGGGCCACCAGCCTTTGACGCGCTTTTGCTTGAAGATGGACACCAGGGGCACGTCCACCTCACCGGTGGCCATCTCCATGGTGCACTGCTTGGCTGTCTTTGCGCCCCGCGGGAACCGGTTCAGGTCCAGCTCAATGGCCCCTGTGGCGACCTCAGTGTCAGCGCTGAGTGAACAGGGCTGGGGTGGGGTGGGGTGGGAGTGGGGGTCTGGGCTCCTCGTTCCCTTGGTTGCTGAGTGCAGACCTCCAGGAGCCCAAATCTCATCCTCCTGCCTCACTCCCAGCAACTGGCCTCAATGCAGGTGTCCTCGTGGGCTTGCTGGGCAGCCCCAGCCCCCACACTTTACTCAGGTCCTTCTTTCACCCCAGAGGGTCTCTCCTGGGGTCTCCCCTGCCACTCCCTGCCACACATCCATTCTATCAAAGTCCTGCTAATCCCACAAGCTTGCAGATGCAGATTAGAGTTTTAGGGGGAATCCCTGCTTTACAGAGAAGCAACCTGAGGCCCAGGGAAGTTTCCCGACTCCCTTAGGGAGCCTCTCCCCTCCCCCATCAGCACTGACTGCCCCCTCCTTGGTGTGTCCAAAGCTTGTGGTCAGCCTGGTTATGATACTAAGGACATTTGCCTGGGGACAGTTAGGTGGGTCCTTGGGGGCAGAACCCCGTCAGACATCCCTGGCTCTGACGGGCCGGAAGCAATAACGCCTTGTCCGCCCAGGGCGGGGCTCTCCCTGTCCTTGTCCACCCAGGGCGGGGCTCTCCCTGTCCTTGTCCGCCCAGGGCGGGGCTCTCCCTGTCCTTGTCCCCCCAGGGCGGGGCTCTCCCTGTCCTTGTCCCCCCAGGGCGGGGCTCTCCCTGTCCTTGTCCCCCCAGGGCGGGGCTCTCCCTGTCCTTGCCTCCCCAGCCCCTGCCCCTCCTCAGTTCTGGATTCTGAGCCCCCATCCCTGCCCTGCTATGCACCCAGGAAGTCGTCGGCAGAGAAGTGGTCCGCATCCCAGATCTGCAGGGTGAGCCGCGCGGGGATCTTGTACTCGGTCTCATCCCAGGAGAACATGGACTCCTTCTTGGAGATGACGATCCTCTCCTCCGCTGCCAGGTAGTCGAAGGGGAACAGGTAGCGCCAGTTGAAGTTGCCCTCGCCAGTGAGGGAGTGGTAGTGGACGTCTGTGTCCTGCTTGTCCTCCTGCTGGCCCTTCAGCCACCTGTGGGCGCCACATCTCCAGACCTGCAGCCAGGCCAGTGGGACCTCTCCCACCCACAGCCACCTTCCCTCTGCCTCCTTTCCTGCCCCCCGGGAAGCAGGGCCTGCCCGGCTCAGTCCCTCTCATGCAGGGACTGCTCACTCACCCCCTCACGAAGATGTCACTGGACTTCTCCCCTGTGAAGAAGTCGTCGTCCTCCAAGACCACCTCATCCGTGTTCCAGATGATGACCCGCAGCTCGTACCTGGGCCCAGGGAGAGAGAGCTGGTTAGCAGACCCGGGTGGGGGTTATGCCAGGGTGCCAGGGCTGGGATGGGGCAGGCAGAGAGGAGCCCTGGAGACTTGGGGTCAGCACAGCGCCTGGGCCAGGCTGGGGCTAGAGTGGTTCGGGGTCGGCGGGGCAGAGGCATGAGAGGGCCCACCAGGCACATGGCTGTGGGCGGTGGGGGTGGCGTGGGGCAGGGGGCGGGAAGCCAGCCTCTCTCTCAGATGCTAGTTCCGAGAGAAGTCTGCATTTAAGCCCAGTAGCCAGCAATGGAAGCCCATGGAAGCTGTATGTCCTTGTCCCCAAAGAGGATTTTCCCCTCAAGGTTTAATTGTCATTACGAATGATGTAGTTCATTTCAATTATTAACAGTGAGGCTGAGTCATTCACTAAAAATTGATCCGAGCCTGGCTCTCCTGGGATTGCAGACAGGGCTGCGAGCCCAGAGTGGCGCAGCGGGTTGGGTGCCCCCTAATGACAGGCCCTGAACAGCCGACTCATGGCCTCAGGTTTCCAGGACATTCCTGGCAGAATTGGCTGCATGATTTGCCGGGGCCAGCGCCAAATGGAAATGCAGGGCCACTTGTCACAAAGAATTTCAAGATGGCAACATAGGAGAATGGAAACAAGAGTGGGACCCTGTGTGGCTTCCTCCATCCCTGAAGCCGGCCCTGAATCCAGTCACTGTCTGGCAGCTGGACTCGAATCTGCCGCTTTACGGATGGGAAACCTGCGTTCTTTACACGCCACCACCTCCTGCCTCTTCCAGGCACTCACTCCTGCATACGTCACTGGCAGGCACTTCAAGAAAACTCGGCGGAACATCACACTAGCCTGGATGTGAGGACGACCCAGGGGTTCTGTGTGTTGTGAAGGAGTGCGTCAGTGTGGGCATGTGTGTGAGTGCCCACGGGAGTGCTATGCTGTGCGTGTGTGTGTGTGCATGAGATGCATGTGTATGGGTGCATCGACCACGCAGATGCAGTGCACCGGAGTGTGCTGTGTAGGGCTCATCTCCCTCACTGACGCAGGGTGGAAGGCATTGTCCTGCCTTAGCACATGGGGACTCTCCAGGGCAGGCCCTAAACTCTATTGATTGGTTGATCAGTTTCTCCCCTATAAGGCCCAGTGGCCACACCCAGGCCCCAGAGATGCCAACTGGCCAAGGCCATCTGGGCCTGAGCCTCCCACAGGAAGGGTTGGGCCGTGGTGGGAAGTGATGGGGTGGGCCGGGAGGGAGTAGCATTGGGCCCTGAGCCGCTCACTTCTTGGGCTTCCGAGGGGAGATGTCCAGAGGCGTCCCAGGGGCTGGCATGTCCATGGGGAACATGTCCACCCACAGCTCCAGGCGGCCCTGAGGAAGAGGGTTGTGGCAGATCTCCTAGGGTCTTCTCCCTCTGCCCAGGAAGATCAGCTCTCCTCTCCCTCCTAACCTTTGTTCTGTCAAGGACCCAGTTCATCAGTTTCCATCTTTGGATGCCAGGAATTCCTATGATGTCACCAATAGCCAATCACAGCTTCTGAGGGAGACAACCTAGGTCTCTGCCTGAGCTGATGTAATTCTCACTCAAAGCAAAGACACTTGCCATTCAAGTTACCCTGAGGGGCCTTGGTGGGGAGGTGCATGCCAGGCTTTCTGGCATGCAGCGGACAGCATGAGGCCTGGCTTCTACCTTTACTGACTCAGCTTGGGAATCCCTGGTCTCCAATACCCAAGACCCCCAGTCTTGGCCATGCAAGTGTCACCTGCTCGATGCCCGGCTTGTCGGGGTTGAGCAGCGGCCTGGTCTCCACGTGCTCTGGCACCAGGCGGCAGCCTGCGCGGGGGATGTCCTCCCAGTGCCTCAGGGCTGACAGCGCCACGTGCTCGTCCGTGGGCTTCCTCTGACCTGTGGGTACAGGCAGCTCAGCTGCACATATGGCTCAGCACAACCAGGAGACCTTTGCTGGGACTAGGGATTTAGGAGCACAAAGAAGCCCCTATGCCATCACCTGTTTACCCCACCTCCTTTTCACTGTTGGGGAAACTGAGGCATAGAAGGAGAAGTGGCTTGCCCAGGGTCTCAGCTGCCCCACAGGGCCAAGAGAGGTCTGTGCCCTTGGTCCTCTGCTTGGGGAAGTTGACTGGAGGCCCTGCTGGGCTGTGAGAGAGGGGTCAGGGAGGGGAGAATCCACTTCCTGTCCCAGCACCTGACAGTGATCAGATACCAGCACGGACACCTCCCGATTCTCTGCTTCTCTGGGACATGCCTCATGGACAGAGGAGTAAGGAGAGTTTAAGGATTAGAGCCGGATGGACCTGGGCCGTTGCCCTTGCTCTGCCTCTAAAGAGCCACATGACCTTGGGCAAGTCACTGGAACTAGGATCTTGGTTTGTTCATCTGCAGAATGGGATGCAGATAACTTCTCTACCTCACTGGGATTTGGACAGAGAGAAAGCAGGTGGGGCTGCCCTGGAGGAGGAGTGGAAGCACAGAGGCGGGGCACAGGAGCGGGGCTCTGGGGTGATGAGCAGAGGGTCACTAAGCCCAGGCTTAGGCTGAGGACACCCCAGGCTAGGCTGTGGGGTTCCCCAGGGAAGTGTGGGCCCCTCCTGGCCTCTGAAACCTGCTGGAGAGGGGGCAGGTGGCTGCATCCCCCTCCAGTGCCCCATTACCGTTCTCGTCTTCAATCTCAGAGGGCCCGGTGAAGACGCGGTTGGCCACCTTCACTCTTCCGGGGGGCCCAAAGTGGGGGCCGTCCACTTTGCTGTCTTTGCAGAGGCGGGTCAGGATCTGGCTGGGCTTCATGGGGTCCCGCCAGATATTGTAGCCGTGTCTGCGGGAGGGGACACACAGGCTCGGAGGGGCTGGGCAGGACTAAGCCATCCTGGATGACAGCTGGTTGTGGCCAGTTCTCTAAAGCTGGCTGTTGTCCTCATCAGCAAGTGAGTCTGATTCCTCCTGCCCTGGGCCCCAGGCTCACCTGAGACACTAGGGCAGCTGGAGGCTGAACCCTCCTGCCTTGGCCCTTTGACCACGTATCAGTGTCCCCAGCCTAGCCCCACTGCATCCCCTCACTGTGCCCACTCCTCTGGAACCTCAGAGACTCCCTTGAGGAAACTGAAAACCAGAGAGGTGAAGGGACTTGGCCAGGGTCACACAGCCTGTAAGTGGCAGAGCTGGCCCAGATCCCCAGGGGACTCTTCCTGTCCTCCTCTTCTGGCCCCCACCTTCCCTAGCCCACTTGTCTCTCCTCATGCTGCCTCCCCTGTCCTGCAATCCACTGGCCCTCTCCTCGTTTTGGGATCTGCAGTCCTGTCCCCTGAAGGCTGTGCCCAGGGACTATAGGGGCAGAGGCCTGGCCTGGGACAGAAACCACAATATTTCTACCTTCTCAAATCACCACAATCTGAATCTCATTTTAGAGTGGAGGCGAAGCAGGCACACTGCCCCCACCCTCTGCCCCACGCCCCACACACGTGGAGTAGGTCTGGGCGATGCCGCAGGTGGCGCGGTGCTTGCTGTAGAAGCGGTTTTCCAGGTCGATCTTGGTTTCCCCAATGAGGTCATCAGTGCCCACCAGGTCCCAGTCATACACAGCCACCGTCAGCATGGATTCCATGGGGAAGGAGGCCTCGATGTCAAAGGACCTGGTGGGGGTGGAGTTAGAAGGGTTTAAGGATCGGCTAGGGTGAGAGGTGGTCTGGGTTGGAGAAGTTGGGGTGTGGCAGGGGAGGGCACCAAGAAGCCTTACTTCCCAAACACAGGGTTGAGCTGCTTGGAGATGTAGTTCTCCTTGTCGCGGATGTCGGTCTTGCCTAGCCGGATGGCGATGTAGGGGTCAGCTTTGCCGTTGATGTCGGCGGGGTGCAGGTCCGTGGCCTGGGATGGGGAGGAGGGCTGCCTGAGCAGGCTCCCATGCCCTGCTTATATTCAGTGCTCCTGCCAGGCTGCCTGAGGGTCCTATGACAGTGAAGGGCAGGGGCAGGAACACTGGACCTGTCAGGAGGCTTGCTCTGTGACCCTAGGCAAGTGGCTACCCCTCTCTGGGCCTTGATTTCCTCCTCTAGAAAAGATAAAGGCTAGACCAAATGATTTCCCTGGTGCCTCCCAGTCTGGGGCCGTCAGTATGCAGCTTCTTCTTTTTTTTTTTTTTTCTTTGAGACAGAGTCTCACTCTGTCTCCCAGGTTGGAATGCAATGATGTGATCTTGGCTCACTGTAAGCTCCACCTCCTGGATTCAAGCAATTTTCCTGCCTCAGTCTCCTGAGTAGCTGGGATTACAAGTGTGTGCCACTGCACCTGGCTAATTTTTGTATTTTTGGTAGAGACAGGGTTTCACCATGTTGGCCAGGCTGGTCTTGAACTCCTGCCCTCAGGCGATCCTCCTGCCTTGGCCTCCCAAAGTGCTGGGATTACAGGCATGAGCCAGTGCACCCAGCCAGTATGCAGCTTCTTTGGTCCCTCTCAGATAGGAGGATGAAAGACTTGCAAGGAGGGGAAGCGACGGGAGTCTCACCCGGACCACATAGACTCGGACCAGCACATTGATGGGGTCATTGCTGGGGATGCCCTGGAACATGCCGTAGGTGGGGTCGTAGCCAGCTTCCCGGGACACGTCCTCTGGGAGTGGCACTTTGTACACGCAGAGGGAGCCCTGGGCAAGACAAATGTGGGTCAGGCTGTAGGTTTGCCTGGCAGGGGTGGCATTCGAAGTAGCTAATGGCACCGGGAGGGCTGGACCCTGATGTGGCAGGGCCTTCACCCTTTAGCTGGTGAGGCATGGGAAAGTCCAGGGCTTCTGGAGGGAGTGACCAGGGCAGTGGTGGGAGGTGAGTGGGAGAACCTGTGGTGGGGCAAGGGCTGAGGGGTGCTCAGGGGCTGGGCCCGTGCTCCTGGCCTGACCTTGAAGCGTCCCACAATGCGCTCCTCCTCAGTGGAGCCATCCTCGTCATCCCCGGTCTTGCCCCGAAGCAGGTTGAAAGTGTGCAGCCAGTCCTCAAAGTTATCGAACTCGCACTCCAGCTCTTTAGGGTACACCTGAGCCAGACCAGGCCGTTAGGGGGCGGCTGCTTGGTTTCTGGCTTTCATCCTGCCCCACCTGCAGGATCACCGCCACCACCCCGCCAACGCCCCCGCACTCCCTAGAAGGACCTGCTCCCAGGCTCTTACCTTAAGCTCATCAATCTTAGGTTTCTTCTTCTCAGGGGCCTCAGACCCCTGGCCAGAGCCAGAGCTCTGGGTTTTCTTCCTCTTCTCCTCTTTGGCAGCCCTTGCCTTCTCCTTGCCCTTCACTGACCCCTTCAGGCCTGACCAGAAGCAGAAAAGGAGGTGGAGCAGAAATGAGCAGAGCAGGAAGGCTTGGATTGGAGACCCAGCTCTGTTGCTAATTTGCTTTACTAACTTAACTCTCGGATGTCCATGTGCTGTCAAATGCAGATAATACTTCCTAGCATGCCTGCCTCATGGAGGTGCTGGGGGCCCCAGTGAGTTTATGCCTGGGAAGGTGTCTGAAGACTGTCATCATGCCCTTTGGAAGAGAGGGGCAGGAAGAAGCATGGGTTTGGGGGTGGAGGCCTGTTGCCACTCAGTTCCTCCCCCACTCACTTTCCTTACTAGCTTCCCTCTTCTTGTCCATAATAATAACACTCTGTATTAGCATTTCCCAAACTGCATGCAGTGGAGCACCAGGTGCAGATGCTGCTGGCATGCTTTAGAAGAAAGGGTACTGTGACCCAATAAGCTGGGGAAATATTTTACACTGTGTCTTTCTTTTAGAGATGTATAAATAACATTTGCACAGTAAAGGCTCTGAAAAGTCCTGCACCAGAATAAGCTGTTTCAATCAGCTTTTCCTAAACTAATTTGACCCAAACTAACTTGTTCCTTTTAGAACACCCATAATTTTCTTCATGGAAAAGAGTCTGGAAAATGCTGGATGGAATGAGCTCTGAGGTCCCTTCCAGCTCTGATGTTCTGTGGCTGTAAATGTCTGTCTATCACCGTGGGTGCTGAACTGGTCAGAGTAAAAGCCTCCCTAGACAAGGGCCTTAGCTTGCTCAGTGCCCACAGACTACTGATGCTGCTTCCCTGGCTACTAAGGCTGGGAGGACTGGCGGGAGGGGAAAGAGAAGCAGGTGGTGAGGTGGGCAGGAGAGCCAGCTACCCAGGGCAGGGAGGAGGAGGCAGAGTTCCAGGTTCCAGGGCTCACCCTCAGTGTTGTCCACCTCCTCCTTCTCCTCCAAGTCAATTCCAGAGGGCTCCTGTTGTCGAAGTTGCTGCCAAAAGATGAGATGCAAAGGAGAGAAGGTGGGTTTCCTAGGGAGGAGTCTGTTGACCCCAAACTGTGGACCCAGACCAGTCTTAATGCACTAGAAGTAGAAAATCTTCCCCACTGCATTTCAAATCCACCATGTGCTCTGCTTAAGTTGATTTAAAGAAGTTTATAAGGTGTACAATGTGACTAGTGGTACTTAGGGGTTTATGCATCTGTGGCACATACACACCATGGAATACTATGCAGCCATAAAAAAGCATGAGTTCATGTCCTCTGCAGGGACATGGATGAAGCCGGAAACCATCATTCTGAGCAAACTGTCACAAGGACAGAAAACCAAACACTGCATGTTCTCACTCATGGGAGGGAACTGAACAATGAGAACACTTGGACACAGGGAGGGGAACATCACACACTGGGGCCTGTCAGGGGGTGGGGGGCTAGAGGAGGGATAACATTAGGCGAAATACCCACTGTAAATGACCAGTTAATGGGTGCAGCAAACCAACATGGCACATGCGTACCTATGTAACAAACTTGCACGTTGTGCACATGTACCCTAGAACTTAAAGTATAATAATAATAAAAAAAATACCTTGCAATAAATATTTACATTTTCTACTTAAAAAATACAGTGCATTTTAATGTTGCTTTTAGTGGTATTAATAAATTGTTTTAATGTAGAAAAGAATAACAGTAAGAACATGTACTATATTTTCTTTCACTCAGCACACCCCACCCTACTGGAAACGAGAATAAATCTTACTGAAAACTAGAAACCTGGTTTCAACTAAGTCGCCACCGCCACCTGGTGGCAGTCTGTGAAAATTGCAGGAGTAGAGACACGACAACAGGCAGCCTTTTGCAGCTCCAGCCTGGCCAATTTGATGGTGGGAGAAGAGACTACCAGTTGTCCTCAATGATCTGTTCTGCTTTTTTAGAAGTTTTGCTGGGCACACAGTCACTTTGCTAAAGATTACATTTCTCAGCCTCCTTTGCAGATAAGTGTAGCTATGGGACTAGATTCTGGTCAATGTGAGTGGAAGTGATATGCGCAACTTCTGGATTGGGCCCTGAAAGAGAAAAGCATATGCTTCCTCTCCTCTTTAACCTTTCCTGTGCACTTGAATTAGAACATGATGTTGAGTCACCTCCAACTCTACAGATGTCAGAAACAAGAGGTCAGGATCTTAGTCCTTGACACCACTGAGCCACCATACCAGCCTAACCCCCACTCTCTGAGATGCTATGTGAGAAAGAAACTGTTGTCTTGTTTACGTCACTCTAACTTGCTACAGCAGCTTAATGTGTGCTCTAATAAATATCACGCCCAGCTTAGGCTGCAGAAAGGGCCTGGGAGAGAATGTGGCTGGATCAGCTCCAGCCCCACTGAGGAAACACAACTGCAGGCATGTGCCCTTCCTGGTCAGGTGGCCAGTCAGAGCACTGAGCTAGGTAGGCAGCAGGCAGAGGACACAAACAAGAGAGCGGAGAAATGCACTTTCTGGGACTTGCAATCTGGCCAACAGATGGAACCCACATATGTGTAACAGGGGAAGAATCATTCACGTGCCGATGACCAAGATGTGTAAAATAAAACAGTATGAAGAAGAGTCGTAAGGACTACTGATAAGCATTTGTTCCCTTATGGCCTCTGAGAACATGTTTCTCCTTTTTCACAAAGGTCACTTCTTCTTGGACGCCTTCCCTGATTCCCCCAAGCCATGATTTGCCTTTGTTATCACATAGTCCTCTAAGTCTCTGTTTACATGTCTATTTTGCCCAGTAAACCGGGGGCCCATCAGGGCAGGTATGGCATCTTTTGGCTCCCATAGCACCTAGTATGGAGCCTGGCTCATCGCATATACCCAAGAGGCATTTGTGGAATGAGTCAATGAGGACAAAAGGAAACTAAGTCAGGGAAGGCAGATGGGACCATCATCTTGGAAGGTGAGTTCTGAGCTAGGATTTCAAGGATGTGAGACAAGGCCATCCCAAGCTCACATGAATGGAGGTGGGACCCAGCTCTGGGGGCTGTGGGAAAGAAGCTGGACAGGAGGGTCTGAGTGTGGAGGGGGTCGCCTCCCCTCACCCTGCCTGAGGTCTCACCTCCTTCATGGTGTCAATGGAGGCAAAGTACTTGGACCACCAGTCCAGCATGCTCTCATCTGGCTCCTCCTCCTCCGGCTCCTCTGCAGTGCCCTTCTTCTTCTTCTTCTTCTCCTTCTCCTCCTCAGCCTGTAGGTTGGCCAGGTCCAGAGTCCTACATGGGCCCCTCCTGCCTGGACAATCCCGAGGGCCTCCACCCATTCCGTCATCTGCTAGCAGGAAACCTTGGGCTCCATAAGGCTCTGTGGGGCCACCTATGTCCAAGGGGCAGGGTCTTGTTTAATGGAGGAGGTGCCATGGGCCACAGAGGGTCATGACCTGCCCGTGTGATCCACTGGCCCAGGCAGGACTGGCACTGAGTCCTGCACTCACCCAGCTCTTTTTCACTGCATCTTGGGGGAGATGTGCTGGCCCAATCATGCGGGGGTGGGGGCTGGCTCTGTCCCTGATGCTGGACCCTTTGACCTGACACCGTTGCCAATACAGGACCCTCTCACCCCAGAGCCCCTGCATGGCCCCCACACTCACCACATCCACTTTGACAACAGCTTCAGAAGTCTGCAGAGGAACCAAGGAGACAGGGGCAGAATTAGTCACTGGGACCTGGAGTGGCAGGCAGTGGCCCAATACAGGGCATGTGGAGGAGCTGAGATGGAAATTACTGTGTGCTGACAGCCCCTGTGCCCTCAAGGTCAACTTTGCTTTAATAATAGCATTCTGACTGGTGAGTCTGCAAAGGGTCTGAGTGAGGATGTTTCTTTGGGTGGCCAAAGGAACAAGGGGGTGTGTTCTAGGCTGGCCCATGTTCTGCCCTTCCCTGTAGGGTCTGCAGCTTGTAGGCCACTTCCACACCCAACCCCCAGGTGGTAGGTCTCTCTCTGGCAGATGAAGGGTCTTAGTCTGAAAGCCAGGAGGAATAAGGAGCTTCCACCTGGAAATCCTCCTCCGACCCAGGCCAGGGAAGTGTCATTTGTGAATGGCTGGAATGGAAAATCCAGGGACCCTTTGGAAAGGACACTGATGATCTCATAAGGAATCATTACCTATGGTGTCATTTGTTGAAGTAAAAATTACGGCAGGTGATTATAATAAACTGTGATGGCTCACTCTGTCTCTCATATACACATACCACATGCCAGTGCACATGCACGCACACACATGCATGCACCCACATGCACGCACGTGTACATGCACATATGCACACCGCAAGCACACATGCACACATATATGCACACACATCACACTCATGCATTCACACATGCACATTTACACACCACACACACATGCACACATGCACATATGCACACCACACACACGAGTGCACACATATATGTACATACACCACAGGCACACATACACATGCACATTTACATACCACACACATGCATGCACACATGCACATATGCACACCACACACACATGCGCACATATATGCAAATATGCCACACTCACGCATGCCACATGCACATTTACACCCATGCATCCACATATCCACATACACCATATGCACATATGCACACATGCACATATGCATACCACGTGCATACATGCACACATATATGCACATACACCACATGCACGCATGCACACACACATTTACATACCACATGCATGCACATATGTACACACACTACATGCATGCACAGGCATGTGCATGCGCACACCACACACATGCACACATACATGCACATGTGTACACCACAATGCACACATGCATGCACATATGCACACCACACACATACATGCACATGTGCACACCACATGCATGCGCACACTCGCATATGCACATACACCACACACATGCATGTACATATGCACATATACACACCACACACGCATGTGCATATGCACATACACCACACACATGCACACACACAGGCACATATGCACACCACATGCACACATGCACACATGCACATATGCACACCACACACACATGCACGCACATATGCACATACATCACATGCACACATGCACACACGCACACATGCATACCACACACACGCATGCACGTGCATATGCACATACATGCACACATGCACATATGGACACCACAAACATGCACGCACTCATGCACATTTACACACTACACACACACATGCACGCAGGCACGTGCATTCCAGGATAGTGTTAGGTGGAGCTGGTTGGACACACAATCAAGGTCAGCCCCCAACAGTCACATGCCAAAGGAGGTTCTTAGTGTCCTTCTCTCTCAGGGCAGATAGTCTGGTTCACAGGACGTGTCACATGAAGTTGCACGTTCCCAGCCAGCGGGGGACTGACCCCACCCGCCTTACCGCATCCAGCTTCACCATGGTCTCCAGTTTCTTGATGGGTACCTCTGGCTCCATGTTCACCACGACCTCCCCTGTGGAGTGAGAGGAGGGACCCCCATTGCACAGCACACGGCAATGCCGGAGAAGCCTGACTGGACAGATGGACAGATGGACAGACAGGCAGAGGAAGGAGCAAGAGGAACAGTGAGATTGGCGGGGCAGGAAGGTGCAGAGAACTAAAGCTGATTCTGGAACTTTCTGAGGGAAAGGGGGACAGGGCAGTCAAGCGAGGAAAGATAGGCATGGGGAGGGAGGAAGAGAGCTCAAGAGAAGGGGGAGCTGTGGAGGCCGGCGGGAGGTAGCGGCAGAGAGGCCTGGGTCTTCTCCATCAGCCAGCACAAGGGACTTTGTGCCCTCAGGCCCTCCCAGGCTGTCTCCAGCTCTGCCCTCTCTGGCCGTAGAGCTGGGGTCGCCCTGGGCAGCCTTCCTTGGCCACCAGGGTGGACCTTCTTCTGTGCCATCCCTCAGACCCAAGGAGCAAACTCTGGCCACAGCTTGGACTGGACTGAGACCTGGAGCCCTTCCCTGGGTGGCATGGAGCCAGGCTTGGTGGCAGGGTGGGTGTGGCCATACCCGTGGTGTTCCAGCTGGGGGCCGAGCGGTCTGGGGGCCGGTAGATGAAGCGTCGTAGGGAGCTGACGGCATGGGAGCCCACCAGTGTGTAGCGACCGAAGGCCCGGCAGTCCACCACGCGGATGTTCAAGGGCGGGTGCAGCAGCTCGTTCTCTGGGAGGTCCTGGGGTGTTGGTGACAGGAGCCTGAGCCTCCGAGAAGGGGCAGAGGAAGCCGGCTGACTGAGTGGAGCCACACTGGCCACAGGACGTCCTCCGCCGGGGCCTGCACTCACCACTTCAAACCACTTGACGAGGGTGTTGAAGTTGGGGTTCTTCTTATAATTGTGGATCAGGGATGACTGCACCCCCTTCCCTGCACACTCGATGTCCACCCGTGGCCGGTCCACCTGGGCCAGGTTCACCCGCTTTAGGTCCCGTAGGCCCCAGAACAGCACCTGGGAGAGGTTGAGGGGCGTGCAGAGAAGAGAGCCCCTTAGTCAAGGGAGCCGCTGTCGGGGCGCTGGACCATCCGAGAAGGAACTGGGCAGTAGCATGAAGTTCACCCCAGATTTCAAAGGGCCGGAGCAGGGCCAGGAGAGCAGAGGAGGGGCATCCTCCAGAGATGAGAGTGGGGCTGCCCAGAGAAGGGGTGCAGAGTCAGGGGTGCACACAGGAGGGCTGGGCACGGTCTTGGGACATGGGAGTGCGACTTGGTGCAGACGGGGGCAGGCCCTGGGCTGGGGCAGGAGCCTGAGTCTGCTGCTGGCTCCTGGTGATGGTGATGGGAGGGGGATGAGAAACCACTTCCCCTCCTGGGCCCTCAGTTTCCTCATCTGAAAGAGAAAGGCCACACAGGGCCCTCGCACCTCCACTCGGTACTTGCTGAGCACGGGCCGGATGCCCACAGGCACAGGCATGATGGGACCTCGGTCCACGTCCACCGGACCGTTGATCGGGGGCAGGTCAGCCTTCCCTGCTGGCCCAATCTGGGGAATGGGGGTCATAGGTCACACACTGGGGAGCCCAGGGACAGGGTCTCTCTCCCTATGCATTGTTTGCCATGAGATCTGGGGAGACAGGGAAAACCCCCTAAGAACCACTCCCCCAGCTTCGGTCAGGATGAGAAGGAGAGAGGCCCCCAGGCCCCAGGCCCCAGCTCCAGGCCCCAGCCCCCAGGCCCTAACCCCCAAGTCCCAGGCTCCAGCCCTCAGCCCCAGCCCCCAGTCCCAGGCCCCAGCCCCAGGTCCCAGCCTCCAGGTCCCAGACTCCAGGCCCCAGCCTCCAACCCCCAGGCCCCACCCCCAGGTCCTACCCCCAAGGCCCACCCCTAAACCCCAGCTCCAGGCCCCAACCCCCAGGCCCCAGGTCCGAGCCCTCAGCCCCAGCCCCCAGCCCCAGGCCCCAGCCCCAGGCCCTAGCTCAAGTACCTGGGAAGGTGTGATCAAAGCTCCTCTGCAGATCAGATTTGGCCCTGGAGGACCTGGACAAAGGCCGCCAGCAGGTCTCCAGCTGTGGCATTGCCACGGTAGATCTGGTAGTACTCGAGCTGGGGCGGGAAGCGGGGTGGGCAGTACGCCTCA